ACCCCCTCTCGGCCCCGTAAAGCCGCTAGAGTCGAAGCTGGCAGCCTCTGCTGTCTGAGATCACAGCTGCCGGTAAGCACACTTGGAGCGGGGCTATGGAGGACGGCTAGGGCTGCCCCCCCCCGCCGCCCAAACCAAATTTATGTGCGGCCCAAACCAAATTTTCATCTTCTAATGTGGCCCAGGGAAGGTGAAAGGTTGGACACCCCTGATCTAGATAGTTGTTTTTTGTTTGTTTAGAATACATAAATGCCATGTTATTGAGCTTTAAATATCCTAACCATCTTTGGCACTGCAGTTCAAATTAATACAAGGAATTATGTCACATGTGGATGTAAATGGTGAACATTCTATATAAGTTTTCAGTGAATGCCCACATTAGAACCTGTTTCAGTATGATTAGTAGGTACTGATAAGATCCAAGCTAAAATATTTTGTGTGGAATATGTCAGAAAAATATATTGTATCTGGTAATCTCTTGCTGTTACAGTGTAGATCCATGTTGCTGCAGTACATTGCAAATACAAAGTTGGAAAATACAGTTTATCAACCAACTAAGCAAATGTCCAATTACTTCCCTTGTGATCTACTCAGGTTAATTGTTTGTTCAACTACAGCTATATGACATTGGTATTCTTTAGCTCCTGCAGCTTAAATCATCAAACCTGCTTATAGTATTCTTTATCTTATGGCCTTTCATTTAGAAAGAGTGGTAAAAGGGAAACAGTAATTTTAATGCTTAATTCAGTTGCCCTAAGAGTTGTATTTTCAGGATGCCATCCAAATATTACACCTTTTTAGGATTTCTTTTCTCTCTAATTATTTTAACCTTGCTTTTTATGTTTCAGGTCTGCCATTGAAGAGGGTAAAGGAATTTATAATAACATTAAAAATTTTGTTAGATTTCAGCTTAGCACGTAAGTTTTGCAGCCCAATGTCGGCAACTTCTTATTGACTTTTATTTGATCACCTTGCACACAAATTTTGTTTAACCAATTTTGATATAAATTGAATTTGGAAATTTATAAGTGGCACAATATTTAACTTTCTGCCATAACTACACAAGCTTCTCTGAGCATAAGTCTAAATATAGTAAACAAATTCAGCATAATATATAGTCAGCTAAGAAATGAAGTATAATTATGCAAAGATAATGGCGCAAAATATCTGCCCCCCTTTTGCTACATGAAATGAACATTTATGTGTTATTCTTTATACTAAACATTAGGAGATGAATGAAAATGTAGTAAAATGGTTTTAGGCTTTTCAGTCCATAAATCTGTGATAGTGTTCCCTGCCTAGTATGTCACACATTTTCAGCCATTGTAGCAAGAAGAGTTAAATAAGAAATAGGGATCTTGATGGATCTGCTTTTTTAGTTGTTGTGGTATATGGTGCAGTGGACAGATGTCACATTGGAAGATCTGCTGTGTTGTTTTTTAAAACCAGAACACTGAGCATCATTAATCAGAGCCCAATGCAAAAGCACAATTGGTATCAAAAACACACAGAGGGGAAAAAATACTATTTCTGGTTATTACAATTTTTTAAATTAAGGGAGGGGAAAGTCATTTTATTGTCATTATATTTAAACAGAACTCCTTGGTGATTTACGTATTGTAGATTGCCCAAAGATCTAATAGTACATGGAAGGCACTCCAAAAATACCTGAAGTCTATCATTATTTTTAATTGTTTTTTAAATTTTGATTCCATTTACCACCTTAGAAACACTCTCCTTAATTACTTAAGACACTAAAAGGCATGAAAATACTTACTATCTGCCGAGCTGCTAATACCTAGGGAGAAAACATTGACATCTCATATCACTTAAAAATTCGAAAATATATATTTGGGGCATAAGCTTTCATGCATCTAGTAATGTGCATTAGCTCATAAAAGCTTACACTTTAGAACTTTGATAATACTTTTTCTTTTTGTTGCGTTTGCTGAAATGGTGCGTGTATCTCAGAAAATCAGAGGGGTACAACTTTACTCACAACTTGATCTGACCATAGGAGACAGCTAATGACAACTAAATGGAACCTCTATGTTTAGAAGCTGAATACAAAAAACAGGGGGGAGTGGGGGGAAATGGGAAGGCTGCTGCATCCATGCCCAGTTTACAAACCTGGCTGACCCTATTCTTCTTTCTACATTGAATTATTTCCTTTATTGAATTAGTTGTAATATGAACTCTGTGTGTTGAACTGGTTTGAACCAGAGATGTGAGTGCTTAAAACATCTATCTGTTTGTTTAGATTGGGGTAGACAACTTCAATGGGACTGGAAGCCAATTTTGACTCCATGGAACCCCCTGGGCATTATAAACATCCTGCTGGGAATAGTTCAGTTTTTTAAAAAATGGTGCAAATGATCTCACTAGAGCAAAGCCCTGTCTTCTCCTTTTGAAAAAAACCTGCTGCTTGTAAAAGTTTCTGAGAATTATAATTTTTTTTAAAATTAAATTCTTTTGGATGGTGAATAGATATACAGAGGGGTTCACATGCACCCTCCAGGTGTTGATGTATCAATATACTGTTACGAATTATACTAGTGGTGTAGTCACGTTAGTCTCCCCAGATCTATTTAATTTTTTTTTGCAAAAAAACAAACAAACCAGTGCTTGCATAAGTATTTTTTTAAAAAAGTTTTTTTTTTCATTATAGAAGTTAGTGTATGAAGCTAATAAGAAACCATAGGTTCTTTTAATAAGGCAAATGATATCAGCCAAAGAAGTTAGGAGATACTTCAAGAGTTCTATCTGGGTAACTCCTAGTATACACTTAGGATCCTTATATGCAAAATGACAACAGAATCTAATCATATCAGTTATTGGGTAAACAATTATTTTTGTGGTACTGAATTGTCTAAACATTTATAGATTTTTAATAAATCCCTTGAAAAAAATGTGCCTGGTAGAGAAAGCTCAACTGTTGAAATGAATAAATATTATTTCACTTATCAGGGAACCAAAGAAGTCACAAAGTTTACTGTAAAAGCAATTATTCCTGGGATGCTTGACTTGCTAAATTAGATTTGATATTAAGATTCAACTCAATATTGTATGGTACAGCATCCTATAGAATGTGCATGATTTTTTTAAAAAAACTTTGTCTATGGTTGATAAAGCTGCTCAGATGCTTGTGGATTTTAACTTGTCACTGCTTGAAATGTTTACCAGCAACTTTCCAGAAAGAAAAAACAAAAAACTTTGCTGATGACTGTGTAAAACAACTTTTTTCAACAGGAGTATAGCTGCATTGACATTAATCTCATTGGCCACATTAATGAACTTTCCTAATCCTCTCAATGCCATGCAGATCTTATGGATCAATATTATCATGGACGGACCTCCAGCTCAAAGGTGATAATTCTTTTAAAAGCCTATAATGAGGTGATATAGTTGATGTGAACACAATACATAAGAATCTTGGCTAATTGTATGGCATTTTGTTGTTTTGTTGTAGAAAACATATTTAAATCTGTGTGGATATTTCTTACTAAATATTTCTTTTGTCAGATTCTTGTGCATGCTCTGTTTTCTCTGCAGCATGCAATTCAGTACAGTATTTGTTGTTCTGCTTGTTCATTATTTACATATATAGTGGTGCCTCACTTAGCGATGTTAATCCGTTCCGGAAAAAACATCGCTAAGTGATTTAATCACTAAGCGATATTAAAAAGCCCATAGGAACGTATTAAAACGCGTTTAATACGTTCCTATGGGCTAAAAACTTGCCTTAAAGCGAAATTCCGCCATAGCGGTGGCCATTTTGAGTGCCTCTAAAGCGAGGCAAAACAGCGGCGGCCATTTTGTTTTTGCGGCGGCCATTTAAAAAGCTGTTTAAAAAAGTTTGCTTTGCCATGATCGCTTCCCCGCAATCATCGCAAAGTGAATTTTAGCCATAGGGGACATCGCTAAGCGATCACTCCAGCAATGGCCAAAAGTCCACCGCAAAGCAATTTCATCGCTCAGCGGAGCGATCGTTAAGCGAGGCACCACTGTAGTCTGTAGAAGAATTTTTCGGTTTGCATTTATAGCTGTTTTATAGCAATAAAATGATTTGTTGGCAGCCATATTTACATTTACCACCTCGTTCTTGTGAATAGTATCTTCTCATAACTAGCTGCACCACTACATAGTGTTGAGAGAATTGTTTCACAAGAAACTTAATCTCTTGGCATAAAATATTCAGAGAGTGGCCTTTTGAAAATATAAAATATAAAAATATAAAAATGCACCAACAAAAATGATTATATGAAGATTTCAGTCCAACATTTTAATCATTTTATTATATAGACAATTTACATTTTAAATTCACAAACATTGTGGAATCGGTTTGTAACGTGTCCCAATGGCAAGATTACCCAGAAGAATAATGGGACTTTTGGTCTTTGAAGTTGGATATTTCTCTAGCAGAGTAGATCACTATATTTTAAAAATGATCTAAACATGTCTTCTTCAAGACAGCTTTGGATGCAATTTAAAATACAGCTGTTTACCTTCAAATCAGGAAGTAATCTGGAAATTGTGTGAATAGACTTCCTGATAGCTCTGTAGGAACACAATTTTCAAGAAGCTGCTGCTTACAGTGTTGGAGATTATACCACTTTCCAGAAATATTAATAGGATTTTACAGATGGTTCACATTTAATACTTTAATGCAAGGGTTAGCATTTTGATAGAATTGTGTGTGAAATTGCCTGCTTGAAAAATAAAATGTTCTATTTTATAAAATAATTGTTTAATTATATTCCTTGTGAAAAATCAGAGTTGGTTTTTTGAAATCTTCTTTTCTACATTCCTTCGGTTTAATCCAACAAATATTAAGTCAGTACTTTGCTAGCATTTTAAAAAAATAATGTTAGGATCCTTTGTTCAATTGTCAAAATAACAACCAGAAGTAGATGTACTGATAATGTCTATGCTTATACTTTGAGGGCATTTGCAATCACAAGTAGTGTGCAGTGGACTTTGAGAGTAACTGTTGAGAGCACTTTTCAATATTTACACTGAAATTTGTCGTGTAGGTCAGGACAACCTTTGTTGGGTTGGAAAGAATTAGTTCAGATATTGATTTAAGTTAGTCACACTTAGGTTCTGTTGAAGTCAGTTAAGGGCAGCTATTTTAGGATCAAGTTCTCTGAGATGAAGTTATCTTTGGGATGCTCTGGCAAATATTTAACTTATATTGAGTATTATATTGAGTATTGAGGATGTGGACAGGGTGCTTGGATCTGCCCGTCCTACTACCACTCCACTTGACCCTTGCCCATCCTAATTGAAAGATCTGCCAGGGGGGTTCGCACCTGGGTCCAGGAGGCCGTGAACGCCTCTTTGAGAGAGGGAGTGGTCCCTACCACCTTGAAAGAGGTGGTAAGCCTAACCTGGACCCAAGGCTGGTGGTTAACTACCGACCAGTAGCAAACCTCCCTTATTTGGGCAAAGTGTTGGAGCGGGTTGTGGCTGGGCAACTCCAGGCGCTGCTGGATGAAACTGATTTTCTGGATCCATTTCAATCGGGTTTCAGGCCTGGTTTTGGTACAGAGACTGCCTTGGTCGCTCTGTATGGTGACCTTTGCAGGGAGAGAGACAGGGGGGAGTGTGACCCTGTTGATACTCCTGGACCTCTTAGCGGCTTTTGACACCATCGACCATGGTGTTCTTCTGGATAGGCTGGCTGGGTTGGGAGTTGGGGGCACTGCTCTACGGTGGTTCCGCTCCTTCCTGGCTGACCGTGTCCAGAGGGTGGTGCTGGGGGACAGTTGCTCTGCCCCATGGCATTTATGTCATGGGGTTCCTCAGGGCTGACCTGATAATGGACTGGATGAGGGTTAATAAATTGAAACTCAATCCAGACAAGACGGAAGTGCTGTTAGTGGGTGCTTCACCGGACAGGTTGGAGAGCCATTTCCCTGCCCTGAATGGGGTTACACTCCCCCTAAGGGACAGGGTCCGCAGCCTGGGGGTGCTCCTGGACCCCAGTCTAACTTTGGAAGCCCAGGTGGACTTGGTGGCCAGAGGCGCTTTCCTTCAGCTGCGGAAATTATACCAGCTGCGGCCCTACCTGGACGAACGGAGTTTCATGACAGTTACACACGCACTGGTAACATCTCGTATAGATTATTGCAATGCGCTCTACGTGGGGCTGCCTTTGAAGACGGTCTGGTGACTGCAACTGGTCCAGAATCGAGCTGCGCGGCTGGTGAGTGGTGGAGCTGCTAGAGATCATAGAGATCACATCAAGCCGATTCTGTTTAATTTACATTGGTTACCAGTTGCTGCCCGGGCCCAATTCAAAGTGCTTGTTTTAACATATAAAGCCCTAAACAGCTTGGGCCCTGGATACCTAAAGGACCGCCTCCTTCCATATGAACCTACCCGGCAGTTAAGATCTAACCAGGGGGCCCTTTTGAAAGAGCCATCCCTCAAAGAGGTAAGAGGGATAGCTTGTAGACAAAGGGCCTTCTCGGCAGCTGCCCCCAGACTATGGAATGCCCTCCCGACTGAAATCCATCTGGCGCCAACGTTGATGACATTTGGCTGTTCCAAATGGCTTTTAACTGAAATAATATCACCTGTAGGTCTGATGGCAATTTTTAGAATATATATTTTAAATGCATTTTAATTATTTTGCCCTTTTATTTTGCCTTTTTATTGTATTTTAAATGCTGTAAGCCGCCCAGAGACCTTTGGATAGTGTGGGCGGCATGTAAGTTAAATAAATAAATAAATAAATATTATTTACTGTTTTCCTTATTTTATGCTACATCAATAAATTCAAACTTTTTAAAAAACTGCTTTTTTTTTAGTCTTGGAGTTGAGCCTGTGGACAAAGATGTTATCCGGAAACCCCCAAGAAATGTCAAGGACAGCATTTTGACCAGAAATCTAATTGTTAAAATACTAGTTTCATCTCTTATTATTGTATGTGGAACGCTGTTTGTCTTCTGGAGAGAGGTATGACAATAATGTGTCTGTTTTTAGTGTATTTCTTACATACCAGTCACTGCAAACTTTAAAGTGCATCAAATATGACTGTGTTATAAAGCATGAAATTAATTTCATGTTCCTAAGAGGGTTTGCCCACTATGTGAGAAGATCAGTTTTACAATACTAAACCAGCTTTAAGTGCTATTGCTTTTCCCTCAAGACACTGTAGAAATTGTAAGGCTGTGAAATTTATTCACTATTTGCAGCATCATTTTTAAGGTGCAGCTCAGAGAAACTTAAGAGAAGGTTTTCCAGCAGAATTGTCTTGCCACGTAGACAGTGCTCTAAAACTCAACTAAAATTAATAGAGATATTCTGGTGCTTAGTGTATGTATATAACTAAAGATTATATACAGTCTGATTATGGTCTGAGATAGAAACATGTACATTGTGAATTTAAAATGATACAAAGATATGCTATGAGAAAGCCAGGATGTTATTTTTAGATTTCTGGGAAAAGCTGTAGGCACTGCAGAGACACTAAAACTGCACAGAGGTGATGAATAAACTTACATTCCTGTCAAAACTCATCGGAGACTGGATGTGCCATTTGAGATTTTTCCAAATTTGGATAGGAAAGTACAGGTTCTGTAGCATTATGACTTCATATGTTAGATTAATTTAAAGTTCTTTATTGTAGAGTGGCAGAAAATATCATTCATTGCATATCCTTATTTTGACAGCTACGAGACAATGTCATAACACCCAGAGATACAACAATGACCTTCACTTGCTTTGTGTTTTTTGACATGTTCAATGCTTTGAGTTCCAGATCTCAGGTATGTGACCTGCATTTGAAAGGCATACAACATGTATCTTAAAAACATTTAGATAGCCTGTAAAAATTCTCAAAATTTAACATAGTTCAAATCGAAGTGACTAAACCTACCAAAAAGTTAAGAAAATTAATTATATACTATATACTATAGTATTATATACTATACCATTTTAATCAATCCTTTCAGCTCTAGTGTGAAAATTTTAATTTCAAGCCATTGAAAACAATCAGAATAGCATTTTTTTTAAACTTACAGACGAAATCTGTGTTTGAGATTGGACTCTGCAGCAACAAAATGTTCTGTTACGCGGTCCTTGGATCTATAATGGGGCAGCTGTTGGTAATCTACTTCCCTCCTCTTCAGAAGGTTTTTCAGACAGAGAGTCTACATGTACTAGGTAAAGAATATTTTCTTATTTGATTTTGTAGGCTGGAGTTTTGTTGGTGTATTGTGATTGCAAGTAGAACATGTACGAATACATAAAATGTACATATAGCATGAAAACATCTCTGTGTATTGGTCTATATTTTGTAGTAGGTTTCTTTATGTAGTTGGCAATTTATGGAAGCCCCCTTTCCTTGCACCATATGGACTTGCGTGTTCCCAGTACTTGATCCCTGCAGCCATTTCCTCATCTTTCTCTGGCCCTGTATTCTCCTGGTACAAGTTATTTCTGTAATATCCTGGCCTGCATGACAAGCACCAACCATAGTTTTCTACTGTAGATAGAATGGCAGACTATGGTTTGTCTAAAATAAATGCTAAAAACATGTATTGATATCTAGACAGGGAGAAGAAAACATGCAAATTCAAGAGTCCTCATTGTTTATTTACAAATGCCAAGCAGTTTAAAAATGACTCTTTAGTTTCTTTTCAACAACACTAACCATCTCCTAATAATGTATAAAGTTCGGCTTCCTGAGAACTCAGTAGTCTCAGAAAGATGATTGCACCTGAGACACATTAATGCAAAAGCATTGATTTATTTGGGAGACTACGAGAGTCATCAGAATGGGAAAGCTGTAAATTATCTACATAAAAATAGTCCAGTGCTACATTTCTAAAATAGTTCACTAAAAATGAAATCTTTGGTGTTAAAACATCAGCTTGCCAAAAAAAATAAAAATAAAAAATAAAAATAAAAAAATCAAGAAATTCCTAAGTGACAAAGTTGGAATTTTATCTCTTTTCCTAGCTCAAAGCCAGCATCATATTGCTTGTATTTGTCATGATTATTGTTAAGAATAGTAAATTTACTATGTCTTGTTTTTAGATTTGCTGTTTCTCCTGGGCCTTACCTCCTTGGTGTGTATAGTAGCAGAGATTATAAAGAAGGTTGAAAGAAGCAGGGAGAAGACTCAGAAACATGGCAGATCATCATCTTTAACATCTTTTCTTGATGTATGATGCACATTACATTCTTTGTTTGCAAAACTAGAAACTGTTGTCCTACATAGGAGGAAGTAAAATGAGAAGATAAAGGGCTTTTGACAAGTCCTCCTTTCACTGATGGATGATGAACACTGGTAATTTTACAGACTGTTTGATTCTAAACTTCCATCTGAGGGAGTAATAAACAAAATTATGCAACTTTGGTAAAAAAATTCTTCAAAGAAAACTTACTTTTCAGACTGAATGGAACTTTCTAGGTGTAAGAGGTTACTTTCACAAGAAACAAATGTCAAAAGTCTTGCCCACCTTTTTGCTCTTAAGAGATATATGTGTATAGAAACATGTATTAGAAAAAGAATTCTAGTTTTTATTTAAAAAAACTTTTATGGTGGTGGTGGGACTTTACTATTAAATATTTGAGGCATTCCATCTGATATAGAGGAGTTGCAAGAGGTGCCATATTTCAGTTTCTGTATTTATTTACATTATCCTGCAATGTGTACCTTGTGCTACCTTTTTTATATCCTATTTTTGCACAGGATGTGACCACTGTCAGATCATTGTCTTTTCTTTCTTTTTGTGATTGAAAAGCTTATACTGCAATTTTGAAGTAAATGTTTGCTTTTCTAAAACGTGTGAATGTGTATGTCGATAATTTTAAATGAAGCAGATCACAAATTGGAAATTTATGTGTGAATGTTTTTTTCCATTTCTGCAGTGATCTAGACTTATTTGATTATAACTAACTTTCTGCTTTTCTAAACTGTAAACACTTCACAATTAATAGTGAGTGACTAGCTTTAAACCAAATATGTTTGTCTTCCTACATTCAGCAGTAGGAGTCCCAGACAAACTACATTATAACATCAAATCTTGGCCAAAAGGAACTGAGCTTAAAGTCATGGTGTTCATTGTGGCCCTTGGCTTTTCTTTCTACTTTTTAAAATAAGCCTTTGGAAAGATCAAGCATAGCATTTTTGAGGGGCTCTTAAGAGCCTGACTACACTTGAAGTATATTGCTTAATTTTTCTGGAAAAGTGCTTCTATTACAATTTGCCTGTATGTTACTAATATGTGGAGTGTCATTTGGTAGAAATGGATGAACATCTTGAAAAACAAAGTTTCAAGTAATTCTTTGGTGTAAGCAATATGAGAAATCTTGAGCATTCATTATAAACTGTGGATACTGTCTTCCAGTTTCCTTTTACTTGATGCAAAGGAATGCTTATGCTCTGTATGCACAAAAGGTTTTCCCCTTTATTGTTACATCCCCCTGGATCCAGGAAGACCAGTTGCTGATCACTGGAGGTCCTCCCAGCAATAACAGCATGGTCCACAGGAAGAAGAAACTGGCTCTCGATGTATGCATATTATACAGGACTGTATTTTCTGCTAAAGCACAGTGCTATTTAGATGCTACCCTATTTCATGTTTAAGAACTATAGGTTTTATTTTGTCTTAGTCATGATCAGAGGATATTGGCATTTTACAGTTGCACAAAAATAAATTTTTGCTGATTTTCTTATGATACGTGTAACATGCCATTTGACAGTGCACACTGAAGCATGTTAATTAGCCTGAAGGCAGTATTTTCTGATACTGGTCTAATAAAAGTTGGTCCCTTCATTTTGACGACTGCTGGTTCAAGTTTAGTTACCCAGTTCAAATAAAAGCCACAAAAACACTGAGTAGTTCAACAGTTTGAAGAGACGGAATTAGTGCCTTCCACTATTTAATGGAATTAATAAACATGGAGGGGCTAAGGACTCTAAGAAATAGCCAGGTTCTATATCTTTTTAGGAATTATAAACTGCATAAACTTAAATTATGTAGACTGACCGATTGCACACTTTAATTTTGTTCTCTACCTTTTGTCAAAGTTAGGTTAATGACTCAAATGCCATTTGCAAGGGAAAGGATATAGGATTTGAAGCTGATAGTTTGCCAAGAGCTCTGTTGGTAAGACAGTGAATCCTACCAGCATCTATTTTCATGTTCAATATCTATAGCAATTATTGCCGAAAAAATTCTCAGATTTTATTTGCATTAAAACCTACAAACTTAGGCAGTGGGGGACTGAGAGCATGAGCATTTCAAAAACATAAGTAATGTAGTGAACATCAGTGAGTAACGCATGAGTGCAGTATACTTTAGCCCAGTGGTTCTTAACCTTGGGTTACTCAGGTGTTTTTGAACTGCAACTCCCAAAAACCCCAGCCAGGACAGCTGGTGGTGAAGGCTTCTGGGAGTTGCAGTCCAGAAACACCTGAGTAACCCAAGGTTAAGAACCACTGCTTTAGCCTACTGTTTTTATAGGGATTTGTGTATTGGCCATAGGACTGTGGGAGAAAGACAGGATAGTAATAAATAACTTTCTACTCTGAGGCTACTTGCCACAATTGTACTGCTGGAAGGCAAGAAGGGGTTTTATGTATGTAAGCTACCAAAAATCAAGTGCCAGTAAGAACAACCAATTAAGCATAACAGTATTGGAGGCTTCCTTACATTTCCTCTGAGACTGAGAAAGAACTTTGCAGGTTCAAACAGAAATACATTACTATCAGAACTTGTTTCTAATATAGTGTGCTTTTAGTTGTCCACCATCAGTGTTGCAAATCTGTTGTTAATACTGCTCGAAGGCAGTGCTGCTAATGGAGTCCCTTCTTTTTCATGCATCACATGATCAGAGGTTTGCTTGCTCTTTTTCCTATGTTTTTTTGACTTCTTCTGGAAGGAGTCCGCTGGTGCTGCATCTTTCACCACATGTACCATTCTGCAATAAAGCTGGTACAGCTTTGGAGATGCACTGAGCAGATCCTCTGGTGTAGATGCTGATTTAAGTTCATGGTACAATCTGTGCACCAGGGTACCACAATAAAGCCTGTCAAAGAGGGAAAATAAAGTTCACTTACTATGCATCTAGCAAAAATGTGATGGTGGTAAGAAAGCATTTATCATTTTAGAACTTAAAATTAAACTCGGGAGTAAGTAGGGGCAGCAAGTTCTGAAAATCACATCCAAAATCTGTTGTTTTATACTGAGCTGCAGCTTTCTACTGTTTCTTCACCTTGCTTATTCACTTACAAGTAGCATTTCTTTTTCACAAAGTTGCGTTCCAACCATAATCCATGGCTTAATTGTTTGGTTATGGGCACCTATTCAGAGAATAAAAACCTGGTTCCTGTACAAGAGGTCAGATCCCAAAGTAAGTTTGGCAGTGCGATACAGCATACTTCCTGAATGCACTGCCTCTGCCTATTACTGAGGTAATGTGGAGTGCACTTGCTTACTATTTGCCTAGAAAACCACACAACTTGGAGACCTGACTTGGGGATGCTTGCTAGGATAGTGTGGGAGTTGATGTGCCATGCAGTAGTTAGGGTTGACTTGGCTGAAGTCAGTACAGTGGTGCCTCGCACAACGAGCGCCACGTAGAGCGATGAATTCGCACTATGGGGACGTTTCGATCGCTAATGCGATCGCAGAGCGACGGCCCCAATGGGCGAAAATCGCAGAGCGAAGGGCGGTAAGCGGTTCGCTTACCGACCTTCGCTTTGCGACCCGCCGATCAGCTGTTCCGCGGCTACAAAATGGCCACCGGAAGCCCCAAAATGGCCGCACGCAGGGTTTTCGCGCCCTCGTTAAGCGAGGGGAGGGCGCTAAAATGGCTGCCGGCCATAGAGGAACATCGCCGTACGGTGCGTAAATCAGCCGATTGGAACGCATTAAACTAAGTTTAATGCATTCCAATGGCTTTTTTCTTCTGTACAGCGATGTTTCACACAGCGAGGGTTAATCTGGAACGGATTAAGCTCGCTGTGTGAGGCACCACTGTATTTGCTTGAAAGACCAAAGGAAAGCTGGATTCCTGTTACTTAGTGTTGAAAGTCATGCTACAGGAGGCCCACTGAATTAGTGGGGATTTGGTGAGTCAGCTTTGCAAGTTCCACTGATTCAAATGGGCCTATTCTAATTGTGACTTACTATGCTAAGCAACAGGACTTCAGCCAGTATCTGTCCCTAGTAGTAGTAGTAGTAGTAGTAGTAGTAGTAGTAGTAGTAGTAATAATAATAATAATAATAATAATAATAATAATAATAATAATAATAATAATAATAA